ATACATATATACAATGTTCTTCCTCAACCCCTACCCGAGGAACCTTGAATTAGCACTGAATGTTGGTTTTTAAAAGTGAGAGAGGCAGATCAGAGCATCTTTGTTTAGATGGTTGACTGAGTCAGCTGTGGGAGAAGCTGAGTGGTTAATACTGTGGGTTCACAGTGGCTTGCATTGAGTGTGACGAGTTTGTATGTTCTTTACGTGCTTGGGCAGGTTTTCGCTCAGACCTTTGGTTTTTCCCACCCTTTGAAAACCTGTTGACATGTCCTGTGTAATATGTGAACGCATCATCTCTTTTCTCTTTAAAAGGATCTTTGGTTGTATCCTTTGTTGAAGGAGGTAATAAAGGAAGGCCTGAAGCATCCTTTCTTTGTATTTACAGAATTCAACTAGCTCTTATTATCATTAGCATCATTCAGCCAACATAAACTAATATTCTCATATATGTATATATAATAATGGATTGGATTTATATAACGCTTTTCAAGGCACCCAAAGTGCTTTACAAGTCATTCACTCTCGCATTCACACAGCTACAGTTGTAGCCACAGCTGCCCTGAGGCTGCCATATCGCGCCATCGGCCCCTCTGGCCATCACCAGTAGGGTAAAGTGTCTTGCCCAAGGACACAACGACCAGGACAGAGAGCACAGGGATCGAACCGGCGACCTTCCGGTTACAGATACGCTTCCCAACCCCCTGAGCCACGGTCGTATATATGGTTAATGTACTTATTGTGCGTGTCTGTGTTTGGTTTTCTGCTGAAACTGTGATGTTTGGTGATGGTGCTAAAATTAAGACCTGACTTACACCCAGCAGAGTTTTGCCGCTAAAGAAAAAAACGATTTTTTGCGGCTCGAGTGGGGACTTTTTTCCTCATCTATCATGTTATAGAACATTATGAAATAATTTGTTGATACTCTGAAGCCACAGGGCAATGCCAGATGGGAGGTTAAATCAGATGGAGAGTCCTATTTCCCGCTCGACATGAGGCTCTTTGAAACTCTTAATCTTGTGTCTTTTTATAGTATGCATTCTTTCTATAGGCGGGTGTGTGTCTGTTAGATGAAGGAATGTGATATCAAGCCTCTCTTCACTTTAATTATCTCCCATTATCTGGCATGACCAATTGGTAGAAATGACGGTTGTATGTGTTCTGCAGAAATATCCACAAGCAGCTGTAATGTTGTAATGTGGTAACTGAGCCGCTGTAAAGACATCAGGCTCTGAAAATAAAAAAATGCCAAAAAACATTTTGTGATGAAATTAGACAGCAGGAGATACTCTGATGACCAACACGCCAAAATCCACTGACAGCAGAGGCAGATCACAGGAATGTCGCTCTGGGATGAAGTGATAATGTGACCAGAGAGGCTCAATAAGGCGTCACTTCAGCAGACATTTCTGAGGAA